AAATTGCTGAACTAACTCTTCGACCCTAGCACCCGACCGTGGCGCGCTCGCTACGTGCGAGGCCTACGGCCTTCGGCCAGTCCTCGACCAACTGAACATTACTGAACTCAACCTGTCCTACAATAATGCACTTATCAAATATGACCTGAAAAATGAAATATGGCACGCTGAACATGGAAAAGGCCGCGGCGGACGCGCCGTGCGCCGCCGACGGCTATTCGCCGTCTCTCGGCCACAATACATTATTCCTTGGCAACTTCCGAACAACATGATATGAACCTCATTTTTAGACAATTTAAAACATAACCACACTAACAGAACCTGCTGATTACTGAAGGTACAAGACACGGCCCACGGCCACCCGAGGCCACGCGATAGGTGTTGGCGACGGCCCGGGGCCATTTCTTCAGCAAAACTTCATTTTACCTCGACAAAACTGATCATACTGAACATAAAATAGACTAAACTGAACATTTAAACAATCATGGTATGAGAGTTGCCGGAAGAAATCAAAGATTACTCGGTCATCATCTTACTTAAGTCTAAGCAAACATAGGCACGGTTTTGATTAACATTCTCGAATATAATCTGAACAATTAACCCTAACATGACTTACTCAACATGGATATGAACTGAGGAGAGAATTACCTCTCTGATCGCTCGACGGAAATCGAAAAAATAGGCGTGCTTCTTGTCCTTGTGCTTACCGTGCGATAGCTTAACCTTTACCGTGCGTTTTTGAGGAAAACTTAGGGAAATTTGGCTCAAGTTTTTGCTGCTGAACGAGGGAGTATGAAGAGGAGGTATGCTGCTTATATCTTATGGGAAATTGAGGGAAAAATTTTTCTAAGTACCATCTTTTATACATGCCGAGAGGGGACAAAAATGAGGTGTTTGATGCGTGGCCTCTTCCCTTTCTTGACATGTGCTTGCATCTCATGAATCTACAAATGACTAAGCATCCTCTTTGAGTGACAAGTGCTTTAATTTGATTGGAGAAAACATCTTTCCCTTGGCTAAGGGAAGCTCACGGCTTGTTTAAAATTTGGGAAAAGAATTTGCTAAGTCATGGCAATTGGGACCTTTAGGTCACGGCCATTATGCTAATGTGGTGATTAATTATAATTAATCACTCAATTTATGTTTAATTATTCAATTAAACATAATACTTAATTACCAAAATTATTTCGAACGTAAACGGTACGCCGAAAATAAATTTCGGTAATCTCGACTGAAAAAAAATATTTCCGACGATAATAAACGATAACGCTATATATCGGAACTAAACGTAATTTATACCGATAAAATATCGGGATATTACAATATACCAATAAGATTTGAAATAAATATCATTTTAAAATAATGATATTGTATTATTTCATGTTTGAAATGAGTAATATATGAACATTGGAGAGAAAAAAATTGAGAAATAAATTAATATGATTGATTTGAAAGATAAGTAACAGAAAAGAAAATGAATAAAAAAAGTATTGAGGTAATCATCGAAGAAAATTTGATTAATATACATATATACATAATAAATGGAGGGGGATCGGATTTCACATATAATACCAAAAATATTGAGCAATCAACTCTTTATAAACAACACATGCAATGGAGTGGTTCTATTTGCATATATATCATATATCACGTGTGCAATACATATATCATGTGTGCAATGGAATGATTCATTTTGCATATGGTATTAAATATTGTGTTTTAAATAATTAGAGAATGTAATTATAATATGTCCGAACCTATTTATTTTGGAATATAATTATATTAATTTTAATCCAAACCAACAGCCGAAGCATGTAATGTTGCCAAGTAGTCTTCCGAAGCGTGCGAGCCAGCCATTTAGGCTCAGCACGTTTTGAAATTATATTAAGAGGGGAAGAGGGGATTTTAAAAATATGGACAGGTACTAATATTTATTATTATATAATATTTATTATTATATAGTATAGGGAGGGAATACTTAATTAGGGTTGTAAACGAGCCGAGTCGAGGCAAGCCGAGTCGAGCATTGGCCTTATCGAGTAGGATTGAGTTTTTTTTTAGCTGTTCGAGCTCGATTTTTTAGGCTCAAGCTTGACTCGATAAAATATTACAATAGCTTGATCTCGGCTCGAGCTAGACTCGAAATCAAAATGCTCGAGCTCGGCTCGAGCTCGGGTTGAAAATTAGGTAAAATTACCATCAGGGATGTCTCCAGAAATTTGGAGGCCCTATACAAGTTTGTCATTTTTGAATTTTAAAATTTGAACTTGCGTGGTAATTAGAGCTATTTGTAGAATCATAGAAAAAAAATCTAATTAAACAAGAATATTAAATAAATTAATAAATAATTGAAAAAAATGGTTTTTCTTGTTTTTCTAGACCTTAGAATTCATACATTACCTATGGGTTATAAAAATATTTAATAAATTACAGTCAAGCATACAACAAGGAAAAGAAAATAAAAACCGTATCACTGCAAATAATATTTATTATCACACAATTATTCTGACCGAACATCGTAAGAAAACAAAGAAAAATTTAGGGCCTCAATTCCCACACAGAGTATATATTTTGCAATTAGCT